GCGACCGCCGAGGCCCGTTTGGGCCGGTGGCGACAAGTTAGAACACCGTCTTCACCTTGGGCTTTCTTGATTCTTCGAAACCACACTTCGATCCGAAATCCTAACCTAAGATAACGTTCCTCAATGGAGCTTCTTTCTCGTTGATCCCTTTCCAATCCCATAGTTTTGGGGAGGCGTAATCTTTTCGTTTTTCTCTTTTACTTTCTTTTTCACAATTTTGGAACTTCTTTATTTTCTTTACTCTCTAGTTTGGACGCAAGCCTTTTCATGAACCATTTTTTTTTTCTTAATTTCATTTTTCTTGTTTGTTACTTGTATCTGTTTTGGTTGTGCTATTTTTTTTTGATCGGTTGGAGTTTTGAAAATAAGAAGACTGAGGCGCTGTGTTAACGGTTTAGTGTGTTGTTGAAGCAATAGAGAATTGTGGTTTATTGGCTGCCCAATTGATCTCTGAAATCACGCATCTCTCTCTTGATCTCGACATGGAGTCGAAAAACCTTGGGAGGTTTACGTTGGGGAAGCAGTCGTCACTGGCACCGAAACGCCGCAACGAGGAAGCGGAGCTTCAGAATGAGGGAGACGCCGTTGACCAAAGCGTGAGGTTGATGTATTCGGCATTTGAAGGCGATGTGGATGGTATTCACGAGGTGTTGGAGTCTGGGGTTAGTGTCAATTTCAGGGATATTGATTATCGCACTACTCTTCATGTTGCCGTGTGTGAGGGATTCACTAAGGTCGTTGAGTTTTTGCTCCAGAAAGATGCCAAAGTTGACGCCAAGGATCGATGGGGAAGCACAGTAATAACTACACTTTTTTTTTTTAATTTTTGATTTGGTTTAGTATCGCAAGTGATTGTGAATTTGTGATTTGATGTTTGGCTATTGGCATGTTTTGGTTGTGTTGTTAATTCCGGTTTCGTGTGTGACAAAATGGCAGGGCTTCTTGAGTTTTAAGGCAAGGTTTTTCAATTTCTTTTCAGTTCTACAACTTTAGCCTTCAGAGCACCTTTTTTAACTTCTCTTACTGAAGAATAAGTTCCAAGTTTTTTATTAGTTTCATTATTTTAAAAAAATTATTTTATTGTTTGAGCTTGAGAATTCTATCATACATTCTTTTGTCTAAGAAAGTTGTGTTTTCACATAGATGATTAGGCGCTTTATAAAATTTATAATATTATTTTTTCCATGGTTAAAGTATTAGCTAAATAGTTCTTCAGGAGACTTGAGAGGGTGATGCAAAAATTAAAGCCTTGTTTGCAATTGTTTAGAAGAGTGGAAAAAATATGTTTATGCCTTTTAAGGAACATAGTTGTGAGAGAGAAATAGGGAGCCCACAAGAATGAAAGATCAACCACAATGAAATGAGGGCTAATATATCCAGGCCGGGTCCAAAACTAAGCCTGAAGGTTAGATGTAGAACATTATTTCATAGGGGATAGTCACCCAAGTAATCAAGTGATCTAACTGTCATTATTTAGGCCTTAAAAGGAATTTTTTTTAAGTAGTTAACTAGTTAGGTAGCTATAAATTGAAGCAGAGAAAAATGTAAAGGAAATCAGTTAACTGGTTGCAAGAAAGGGTCACAAGAAAAACAATTAATATGTGCCTCTATAAAAACAAATGACGGTAAAAGTTAACTCATTTTCTGTTTTGAAGTTGTTTGCTATGCCATATAGTGTGTCTTAACTCTGTTTAGAAATGTTTTTCTCAAGTTTGTTTTCAATTTTCACTCATTTTCTGTTTTGAAGTTGTTTGCTATGCCATATAGTGTCTTAACTCTGTTTAGAAATGTTTTCCTCAAGTCTGTTTTCAATTTTCCTTTCTTTCCATTCTATAGATTTTCTGTTGGAGAGCTTGAAGTTCTATCTTGAGTTGAGACAAATTTCTATTGTATAAAATTAGGTTTGTATTGTACAAAATTCTTAAAACTACAAGGCTTGGCTGATTGTTCGAATACCTTGTGTTGATATGCTTCTTCAAGAGTTAGGGCTTGATAAAAAGAGTTTGTTCTTTGGTAAATGGTAAAACAAATTGAGTGCTTGAATGCTGCTTATCTCTTGGTAAAATGTAATAGCAAGTCTTTGCAAAATTGATTTTATTCAAAATTAAATTTAAAGGAATGTGATTTATTTTTGGACCTTTTATTTAAAAGGAAGTTAGGTAGGAAAATTTAGTATAATATTTTTATCGAAAACAAAAGCTACCTAAAGTTCTGTCAACTCAATCAATTTATCAACCTGAAATCAAATATACGAGTTTTGTTTAAAATCTTGTTTTGTATTTCAATGGAGAATTGCACATGCATGTACTTACTGGGATTTCTCTACCTATTCTCTCTGAATTAAGATGTTCCACTCAAGCTAAGAATATGTCTAGAACATTCTTTTAAAGACTTGGACAATCCTCTTCCTTCAAGCTAGTATTGGATCACTTGAAAATGTTCACTCCTACAAATAGCGTATACTAGATCTGTAGTTCTAGGTGTAAGATGTGTTTGTTAAAATGCCTTGTATTGATCATGAGAACATATATGACATGAAAGCCCTATATATTTGCTTCTATCCTTCAACTCGGTTAAAATTGATTGTGTTGGTATTATTATTATTTTAGTCGACAAATGATGGAAGAGGAGGTATACGATTTTTTTATGCCTAACCCTGATGTCGATAAATTGAGACTGTTGTTATTAGATGCATTTTGTATTAATTATGAGAACATATAAGGCATGAAAGCCCTATATATTTGCTTCTGTCCCTCATCTCGGTTAAAATTGATTGTGTTGTAATGATGGTTATTTTAATCGACAAATGATGGAAGAGGAGGTATACGATTTTTTCATGCCTTATCCCGATGTCAGAAAATTGAGATGGTGGTTACTAGATATATTTTGTACTGATCATGTGAACATATAGGGCATGAAAGCCCTATATATTTGCTTCTGTCCCTCATCTCGGTTAAAATTTTACATTTGATACATTTTGTTACACCACATGGAATATCAGGTGCCAAGCATCTTGATTTTGCCAAGTATATTTTTATATCTTACTAAGCTCAGTTCATCTAGAGTTTACCCGAGCTAATGTTGAACTAGGTATAACTTATATGAGTAGATTGACTTAGCATTATAAGTGTGGTTGTAACATAAGGTTGTTTTATCAAAGTTTGGGTCAAGGCAATCTCCAAAACAACATTTATAAATAATGATTATGAGCCCTATTACATGAGAAATATCCTATGTGAGCTAGAGTTTCAACCTTTCAATTGTATCTTTTGTGGAGGAAAAAATTTAAATGGTTATTGTAAGGCCTATTTTATAGGAAATGTCTCGTAGGAGTAAAAGTCACACTTTCACAATCAACCTGAAGCATCAGAGGTAGGTTCCTCAATCTTGAGAATGTGTTGATAGAATTTATGTAACCTACTGAAACTAGATTCAAAGCTAACCAAACTTCAATTAATAAATAAAAAATCTTGAGATTCAAATCAAGAATATTGTAGAAAAAAATTATAGAAAGTTCTATAAGTAAGAGATAGGGGATAAGAGGGGTTTTGATTCTTTTCTCGGTCATAAATGGTTCAAGGGACAAGAATGTAAAACTCAAAGAAATTGAGGTGAAAATTGTGTGTTCTCCTCTGGAGAATTCTCTATTAAATAATAAGATTCCAAATTGATTTATAGCCTTGAAATTTGCTAAAAAATTATAGCCTACATCTAGGCTAATAAGAATATAATTACATAATTACAACTATACAATCATGTAAGATATGTTATTTTAAAGGGTCAGCAAATTGGCAAAAATTATGTCAAATAATTTGTCATCAATTATATTAACATCCCCCCTCAAATTGATGCTAGTAAATCTAGAAGCATCAATTTTCTGATTAGGAAATTATGTCGCTGACGTGTCAAGGATTTGGTGAGGATGTCAGCTATTTGAATATATGTTGAGACATGAGGTAAAATGATAATTCTTTGATCATAGGCCTCCCTGGTTAAATGACAATCAACCTCTATGTGCTTCATTCTTTCATGGTATACAGGATTTACTACAATCTGTATGGCACTAGTATTATCAACATGTAATGGAGTAGGTTGTGTTTGTGAATAACCAAGTTTAGAAAGAAGGCCCCGTAACCAACTAATCTTAGAGCATGTGACCTTTTTTGGCAGTAATTGCAAAACATTTTAGGACAATGAGAAGTAAAATGGCCAAAGCCTTTACAGCAAAAACATTGGACAATATTCATGTCTCATCCTTGAGGTTTGCTTTATACTGCATACGCCATAGGAAGAGAGGTAGATTTTTGTTGTTCTAAATTCATCTGAGTGAAGAGATGTTGTTCTTCACAAAGAAATTCATTTAGGCATTCATCTAAGGAGGGGACAGTAGTCCTGTTCATTAGGTTGGTCTAAATGCCCTCAAAATCATATCTCAATTTCATAAGAAATTGATCTCGTTTTAGTGTCATGGACATTTTTTACTGCAATTTGTCTTTCAATTAACAGATCTTTATAAACAATGTTAGTATATTCAATCCAAAGATTCATGAAATGTGAATAAAATTCAGAAATTAAGAGACTATCCTATTGAAAAATGGCAATTTCATGTTCAAGTTAGAACCTGCAAGCAGTGCTGTTCTGGTTATAAATTTCTTTAAATATTCCCACATCTTTGCTGCCATGGTGAAGGGTATGAGATTGAGGACAATATTAGGCTCAACTGAGCCGATGATCCAAGTCATAACTTGTGCGTCTCTTACCTCCCATTTGGCATGTGCATGTGCATTGATTTGTTAGGAGCAAAATCAGTTATGTCAACATGACCCTAAATCTCCTTGCCTTTGACAAAGATCTGGAACTGGAATGTCCAAGTTGAGTAGTTCTTTCCATTAAGACAAATGAAGAGGACATCATACTTGTTAGTAGACATTATGTCGCGACGTGAATGGTGGGCATTGTGAACAATACCGTGTAAGAGATTGGAACTAGGAACACAAAGACTAGGAGCGCGGCGGAAAACAACTAGGTTTGAATCGAAACCAAGATTGATACCATGTAAAAGTCAAAGAAATTGAGGTGAAAATTGTGTGTTCTCCTCTGAAGAATTCTCTCTTAAATGATAAGATTTCAAGCTGATTTCTAGCCTTGAAGTTTGCTAAAAAATGTTAACCTACAACTGGGCTAATTAAGAATATAATTACATAATTACAGCTATACAATCATGTAAGATATGTTGTTTTAAAGGGTCAACAAATCAACGAAAAATAATGACAAATAGTTTGTCATCAATTCTATTGACAAGGAATTGGTCCCTTATGTATCATTAACTAGCTTTCGTTTAAATTTGAAGTACATAATGTGTTGGAACTCTTGTGTTCGTTAGGTGATTGTATAGGGTGTGTTTTTCTAATTTATTTTCATGATTACATGATTAATATATATGCTTTGATCTTTGAAATAAATTCTGTTTGTATTAATGCTTCAAAATTTTGAAAACCTTTTAAGAGTGCTTATTATATCTTTGATGTATATTTTGTTGTATTGATGCTTCAAAATTTTGAAATCCTTTTAAGAGTGCTTATTGTAATCCTTGTGTGTATTTTATTCATGGTCTAGGTGAAAAGTTACTTTGATGGAATTAAAACCTTTTTGTAGATATAATAGAATTAAAATTTGAGTCAATAATTCTCTCTTTCAAAAGCCACTTATGCCAAATGTTAAATGATCATGAAGTAAAGTGAGTGATCTTTACCCAAGTTAAACTTAGTAATCATATAGCAATTGGGATGAAATATTA